GATTAAATAAAAAGTTGAATCTAATGTCACAGAAAAATAAAGCATTAAATTAGTGAAAGGACCAATGGCCAGTGAAGAGGGTTCTTGTCAGTTTGCCTATACCTCTGTAACCTTGGGAAACCAAGGTCCAGTTCAGCAGTTCAGGGGCAACATCCATTGAAATGGATTTCATTAAATCTCATGAAGCTGAACTGAAGTCCAACTTTTCAATAACATTGAGGAACTCAAGAACCATTGAGCAATCTGACTGTCTCCTCCCTGTGAATGTCATGGTCAAAAAAGAAAATAATGAGTAAGGTAATTGACCGTTCATGTATGTAGAAAGCATAATAGGTGGAAGGATTGTGTTGTAAAAGGAGGAGAGGATTATGGGAAATTAATGAGGAGAGGCGGGAATGGTGAGCCTTTCAGGTATGGCCTTAGGGAATGTCCACACACAAAGCACTGGTAGGAACTCCGCCATAGGCCACCTTGGAGGCTCTGTTCTTGACCACCTTGCTCTTCAACTACAGTTGTTTCCAAAGCTGGCTACAAACCTCATAGGAAAGCCATCTCTTCATAGTTTTTGCTTCCATTTCCTGCATATGGGTCTGAATGGCTGCTCTGGATTGCCAGCCCCTTACCCCCACCCTCCCCCCACCCCCGAGGATTTTTCAGGCATGTGCTCCAGGCTTCAGAGACTGGACTCAGTAGGGCCTTCACTGTGACCAGTGCAGAGATCTCTCTCCTTCTTGGCTTTGGGAAGGACAGTGCTCATTCCAAAGTTTAGTGAAGTCTCACGACTGTGTGCAGGAATGGGAGGACATTCACCACAACCGTCACTAGTATCTTTGCTGCTATCGTTTCCTTCTTGATATTTCTGTTCTTTACAGGGAACATACTGTTCATAGAAAGGAGATCACATGATCTCACTTTCTCGTGGGAGTGGCTCTTGACTTATGAGCAGCTCCCCCATGTCACAGAGCAGAGGCATGCTTTCCTGAATCTAGCACAAGTAGAACCATGTGGAGTGCTGAGTCTAAGTGAGCCTAAGCAAGCATTGCTTTAATCGTGTATTCAAGATGTTAAGCAGTGGGTGAGGGAGAGAGAATAAATAAGATTTAGTTTTATGATGTTTTTCTGTTTGTTTGTTTCAGTGTGCACCGTTGTTTTGCCTACATGTATGTCTATGTACCATGTGGGTACAGTGTCCACAGAGGCCAGAAGATGGCATAAGATCCCCTGGGACTGGAGTTACAGATGGTTGTTACCATTAGATGCTGGGAATTAAATCCCAGTCCTCTGGGCCAGCAGCCAGTACTCTTAATTGCTGAACGATCTCTCCAATCTACCACATTGTTTATTCATTTGTTTGTTTGTTTTCTATATCTGGAGACATGGAATGTTCCATAATAACGTAGGTTCCTTTTCCTGGTACTGATGACAGCATTTGTGACTTTTTAAAGGTTGTATAAGCCAGGTGCGATGGCATGGCTTAAGATAATCACTAAAACGATAGATGCAACTTCTCTATGAACTTAGAAGTCATTGCTGTACTTAGTATGTGTCTGGCTCTCTGGCAGTCACTTACCATATGAGTGGAGAAGACCCAGGTTCACAGTAAAGGGAAAGCTTTTGTGCAGAGAGGAAAAGTATGTAAAAAGAGTAGAAACACCTTAAAATGTAGAGAATGGTGACAGTACACTTCTTGGGCAGGTGGAGGAGGATGGCACATTTGCCAGCAGTGCTGAGGTGATGACAAGTTGTTGCTTTCAATAAATAAAAACTGAAAAGTAAACACAGAACATGTCTAACAGGTTGTGTAGGTTTGGGCATGTGGCTAAGAACATTTTTAACATTTGAAGAATCCACACTAATAACAAGTTGTTGTTGTTTGTTTCCTTGTTTTACTTTTCATGACACTGACATCTTCCATCTGTAATTTATTAGGCCACTCGAATGGAGATGTCTTTGGAGATGAATTTAGAATTTAATACACAGTGGCCCCTCTTTACCCATGCTTTTGGTTACCTGAAGCAAATTACCCCAGAAGTTTTTAGAAATGAGCAGCTAGCTCCTCTTTACAACTTGCATGCTTTTCTGAATGGCACCGTGGCATATATGCCATCCTCCTCCACCTGCCCAAGGAGGCGTACTGTCCTTCTGAGCAGTCCAGCCCACGCATTGCCACCTGCCTAGCAGTCACTGAATGGCCATTCTGTCAGTCGACTGCTTAGGTTCTTCAGCGCCTGTGTTCTCATGATCTTTACTTTGTTAATAATGGCTTCAGATGCAGTGTCAGGGATACTGGTTGTCTAGGCAACTGCAGGGAAGCCATCCAGAAATTCCTAGAGTATCTTCTCACACTGTTACGAGAGGAGTGAGTTCAGTACATGGAGATATTTGAAGAGATAGCAACTATTCCTGCGGAATTCTTTTTAAAGTTGTAATATTTTAATGTGTATGTATTTGGGGCTTAGTGTATGTGTACACAACATGTGCATGCAGTGCCCACAGAGGTCAGAAGAGGATGCCAGATCCCCTTGAGCTGGAGTTACAAAGGGTTTTGAGCCACCATGTGATTGCTGGGAACCAAACTGCAGTTAGTCCTTTGCAAGAACAGTCAGTACTCTTAACCTGCTGAGCCATCTCTCCAGCTTGGTAGAGAACTTTTATTACAGTATTCTGCTTGAAATACTCGTTATTGTGGTTATTGTCTTAACTGTGTCTAACTTATAAATTAAAGCGCGCGCACACACACACACACACACACACACACACGCTGAGTGTTCATAACTCATGTACTTAAGACTAAGTTTTGTAGGTTTTGTGACTTTCTGAATTTGGAATGCTTGCGCCTATGTGTACGGGACATATGTGCTATTTGTTTGTGTCTTCTGTATACCTTATGCATATGACCTGGAGGTAATTGGAACAGGGTTGATAATGCACCTATGTTTTACCTATGTAGAAGTTTCCATTGAGGCATTATGAGGTGCTCAGAAAATTTTGGCATTTGGAGCATTTCAGAGTTCTGAATTAGAGCTGCTCAACTTGTTTTGGAAAAAGTAGTACGGAAACGGTTTGGTTCTAGCCACAGTTGTAAATATCAGGTGTGCCTGGTTCATTGCTGTCGTGTGTCTGTGTGTGTGTGTGTGGGGGGGGGTCTTCTTATGCTTCCTGACTAATTTCTTTTTCATAAAAACTTGCCCCTGCCACATCTGAAGTTCTAGAAGAATCAGATGAACAAACCTTGATTTGTTCCTTCCTAGTCTAGTGTTTTTGTGCTGCTAATAAAACCATAAATGCTAGAATTAGTCTCAGCAGCTGAAGGGAAAGGCCCTTCTCAATAGGAGTAGCATTCCCATGCTGGAAACCTGGGCGGCCTAGGATGGTTACTAGCAAGTAGTAAGAGAAGATTTACGTAACTCTTTTCCAGGACTGTGGAGCACAGTAGGTGCATGTGGGTGGAAGTGTGAAGAACACCAAAACAGAAGGGCCAGGGTATAAAATACCATCCAGGCCTTTTGAACAACACCCCATGCAGGCAGTCTGCTCTGAATAAACAAATGTGGATTCCTTTCTCAATTGTATAAATGTATGAGTCTCTGACTTCCTTAAAATGTAAGCAGGGGACATAATGAGCCCTCTGATAAGCTGACTGAATCCTTCATTGTTTATTAGAAAGCACTGAGCACAACTCCAGCTCATTCTAAACTCATGGCTCATCATGCACTTTTTAAGGTTTTGAAATACAAGGGGGGAGAGAGAGAGAGAGAGAGAGAGAGAGAGAGAGAGAGAGAGAGAGAGAGAGAGAGAGAGAATCCTATTTAAAAAAAAAAAGAAAGGAAGGAAAGAAAAGTTCTTAAGCACAGTGAATTCTTAGGAGCATGAGGAGAGGATGCAGACAGCCCCTTCTCCCAGTCACAGGTTTCTGGTGATCTGCAGATGAAGGCCCTGGGGGGAGGGGGGAATTGGTGGTCACAAGGTGGTTGTAGCCATAAGTGGAAGCTAGAGTTTTGATCATATGTTAGCATTAGAGCATTAAACATTATTTTGCTGGTTTTAAAATCCTGGATAAATACATATAGTATAAAACAATCAAATATTTTTTTAATGGATGGACATAGAAAAAAGATCAAAGGTGTCCAAAGCTTTATAGTGTGTTGTTGGTTGCATCCCCTCTGCCCAGCTGCTCATAAGGAGCCACTGTAAAAGAGGCACTGGGAGGTCATTCGGTGGTGGTGTACACGCCTTTAATCACGGCACCCGGGAGACAGAGGCAGGCAGATCTCTGTGCGTTCCAGGCCAGCCTGGTCTACAAAGCTACACAGAATAGAATTGAGAGAGTATGTGTGTCTGTTAGTTTTGTGTCACTGTTATAAAATGCCTGAGTTAATCAGCTTACGTGGCTCAACCTACTTTAGCTCAGGGTTTAAATTCCTAGTTGATCACCCTCGTCACTTTGGACCTATCATACCACAATACAACATGATGTGTTGGTGTGATAGAGGTGACTGTTCACCTCTTGGTGGCCAGGAAGCAAAAAAAAAAAAGGGGGGGGCATATCCCAGTGTCCCCTTCAAGGACATGATCCCAATGACCTTACTTCTCCCAAGTATGTTCTACCACTTCCCAGTAGCAGCTTGAGCACACAGGCCTTCATGGAATATTTCAGATCCAAACATTCTCGTTCTCTCTTTCTCTCCCTCCCCCTTCTCTTCCCTCCCTTTCTCTCCATTCCCCTCCCTCTCTCCCTCTGTCTTTCAAGACAGTTTTTCTGTGTAGCCTTGGCTGTCCTGGAACACTGTAGACCAGGCTGGTCTCAAACTCAAAAGAGATCCACCTGCCTCTGCCTCCCAAGTGCTGGGATTAAGGCATGTGCCACCACTGCCCGGCTAGATCCAAACTCTTTCACCAGCAGGGTTAGAGGTGGAATTTTGAGGACTGAGCCTTTGCTTGTCATTGTAGTCACTTCACAATGTAAAACACAAGTCACAACGTTCATGATGTCTTCTCAGACAGGAGCCAGGGCTTCAGCCTTCTCAACTCCCTGGCTGGAGCAAGCCACAGCATTGGATCAGCAGAGAGCTGTCACTCAGAGGTAAAGAATTTTCCGGATCTTTCTCCTCTTTGACTTTACTATCCTTGTGGATCTTTACACGTCTTCCTTTCTTTAGCTTCTATTTAAGAGGCAGCAGAGGAGAATGCAGCAGCTGAAAGGAGGCTCTAAAGCACCTATTGCCTGACCCCTGTTGAGGGAATGCTGGCCCAGCCCCCTCAGCAGGTGCTCACTCAGGGATATCCAGTAGTTTTTGCTAGATCACTTTTTTAAATATACAAGGATTTCCTTGCAGCATAATCTTGCTTTCAGAAAATAAAAATGAATCTTTTTCAATACTTTGTTTACCAAGGTCCCTAGTCAACCCATAGTGAGCTGACAGTCTGTTTCACCCTCTGTCCTCAGTAGCTCCATTCTGAGTTCCTTGGTCAGCCAGCCTATAACATGCATCTTAAATGATGCAAACCAAACATGGTTTAGTGGCCAGTAGCAAAATCCTGACATTCATAGTTTTTCCTTGCAGGAAATACCAGCCTTTTGTGTTTGTATGTGACCTCATTCCCATTTGTTTCTTCCTTTGGGCTCTGTTACTGCTTCTCCGCAGCTAGCTGGGGATGGGAAGAGTAAACTCTTTAGATTTTCCACTGAGAAACTTACTGTTAAATTGTTGTTTCTATGCATTTCTCCCCAGCAGCAGGCCCCATTGCCAGCAGCTGAGAGGATAGAGTCCCTTCCAGGCCATCGTGGTGGTGCATGTGGCTCAGCAGGTGCACAGGTTGACAGCATTGTGGGTAAGTTCCTCCATGAGCTCTCCGGAGGTAACTGCAGAACTCAGAGTAGACACCAGGATAGGAAACATTGAGGGGAGAATTGATTTAAACCTGGAGAAGAAAATGGATGGCATACCCACTGGACATGCGCCCCCCGTAACTGTCCACTCAGTTAACGCATCTGGCTCTCCTTTCCATTCTGACATTCAAATGGCTGGCTGTGCAGGCCACCTGTGACCTGTGTGCCACTAACACGTATTCCCCATCCACTTCTTGACTGAGCAACAGTCTTCAGGATTATGGACTTCATGACATGGTGTATGTTCTCTTCACTCACCAACTGTGTCTCCTGGTTTTCCTCCTGCGTGTCTTTGTAGGATTGTTCTCCTCTCCCAAAACTTTAAATACTGCTGTGTTCAATGCTCTGTCTAAATTCCATTTTTTTAAGCATATTTTTTAAAGCACAAAGTGACTCTGTTCTGTCCTTCTCTCTAGCTCAGTTACCATCTCTGTGCACAGAAAAATCAGAAATGTCATCTTTGGCCCTGTACACCAACAGCCAACCTGGCGTGCACTAAACCAAGACACACTTATAACCACAGATGCACTTAAATTGTATGGCAGTGTGGTAAATGAAAAGGATTATAAATCACCACCCTTGTCTTCAGAGAGTTTATGGATAGGTGTATAGAGCCTCGTAGTGGTCAAAGCTGTGGGCATTTAAGTATCATATGGTTGGGTTCCAGTCAAGGCCATGCCTCTACTGGTAATACAGCTTTGAGTAGATGATTCACCTCAGGGGTCTGAGTTTCTGCCTCAGTCAAGCCAGAGTAAGCAGTTTACCCCCCCCCCCCAGGAATGTTGTAAAGTAGAAATGCAATCTGTTAGGTTAAAGTACTCCATTTTGATGAAGGTGTGGCTCAGTAGTATAGTTCAATGGTAGAATGCTTACCAAGCATGTGTAAGGCTCTAGAGTTTGATCCCTGGTGCTCCAAGAATGGTGGTGGGAGACAGAGGGAAGGGAGTACAGGAGGACAGAGCAGGGGTGTAAGGGAAGGGGAACGGATAAAGATGTGTAAAGCATCTCTCAGTACTGCATGCGTTCACTGCAGCAGGGGTAGGAAATGTTAAAAATCCGAGGGGCCCACACAAATGCTGCCACAGCTCTGCCAACAGTGGAAAGAATCTGAGGGTGGAGCCCTGGGCACTGGATGATCAGGGAAGCCACTGTCATTGTCATAAAGAAGTAGTGTGACAGGGCTGGAGAGATGACTGGACAGTGAAGAGTGTACTGCTCTTACAGAGGACCCAGGTTTAATCCCCAGCACCTACATCTGGAGGACGCTCACAACCTCTTAAAGCCAGCTTCAGGAGATCCGAGGCCCTCTTCTGATCTCTGCCAGCACCTGCACTCACATTCATAAACCCACTCACAGACACATGTGCATTTGCAGAATTAAAATAAATCTTTTTGTTTTTTAAGTAATGTGCTGAGGTAGAAATGGCAAAGTATTTGTATTAAGAATGTATCTAGAAAACATGACTCAAAACAGCTCCACCTCTGGCATTTAGGTTAGTTCATTTTTAAACAGGGATTGTTTTGTTTTTGTCTACAAGTTGTAGAAAATGATAATTCTAGGTTTAGGTGTGGACATTCTAATGGTGGGCGTGGACATGACGGTACTGTTGAGAGTGTAGGAAGGGGAAGTTGCCTTTCAGAGCAAGTTGCTAGAGCAAGTTACATCTCTAAATGGAAGCAGTGTCCTCTACCTCATCACAGTGCTGTGAGGATGAAAAGTGAGCCTCCAGCAGTCCAGCAAGGCCCTTTGCACAGCCTCAGGAGACCTAGTGATGCCAGTACCCAGCACGTATATAAGGAATGTGTGGCCAACTCTGATTTCAGATCCCATGTTAGACCTGGATATTCAAGAATTAGCGAGTCTTACCACTGGAGGAGGAGATCTGGAGAACTTCGAGAGGCTCTTTTCAAAGTTAAAGGAAATGAAAGGTAATTATCTTGGCTTGTCTCAATCCTCTCATTTCTAGTTTACGTGGTAGCAGCTCACTTTGTAATGGCTAGATTGGATTCTGAGCTCTGGGCTTGAGAAATTTAGCTGCTTAGGAGATTGGACCATTTTATTGGTAAAAATTCCCTGGGGAAAAATTTCCTGTCTTTATTCTCTTCCCCCTCACTTTCCCTTCTTTGTAAGTGTGTCTCATTATTACAGCATCTGTCAAATTCCCACCAACTTACTCACATCCCATCTGGAAAATTTGGGAGACTCAAGCTTCCTAATGGCTGTAATGACTATACCATGAGCATATGTCTTAGAAACCCATCTACCATCTTCAAGTGTTAGCACACCCATGCACTCCAAATTCTGCTGTGCTATTAGACAAATTTCTTAAGATATATTTTCCCCCTAGACAAGGCTGCGACGCTTCCTCATGAGCAAAGAAAGTTGCATGCAGAAAAGGTGAGAAGACCCAGCAGGTATTTATCATCTCCAAAAGCTCTTACCTGTGACATGTGCAGTGCCACAGGGCCTTAGTGTGAGTCTTGCACTAGATGTTATAGCCAGCTGGATGTTTATCTGTACAATAGTAACACAGTTGCTACAGTCAAACTAACCGACTTATCTTCAGTGTGTGTTACGTGACATGGAACCTTCTCCAGGACTCGGGATGCTTGTTAGACTTCCTGTTAGACCGGAAAACTCTTAATTATGTTTTCTTATTACCAAAGCAACACATGTTTCTGTCAAGAAACTGACATGATTGGTGACACCTCATTATATTAACGGTGTCATCATTTATTTACCCAGCTCCATTCCAGACATTGAGGCCAACTGCATGCATGTTTTTGCTTCTGTCACTAATGAAGCCTCACATTCATGTGCAGCCCTGATCACAAGCTTAGCACATGTCCAGTGCAGAAGTCTGGGTCAAAGGCTGCCCAGGGATTTTAATGTGTGTTGCTGGAAGGCAAAAGTGTTGAATTAAAGACCCCAGTCAGTTCAGGTGTGGCATATGAAATGGGCTGAAGGTTAGCTGTTAGCCTGAAACTTGTCCCATGCTTACACCACAGGTAGCAAAAGCCTTCTGGATGGCTATAGGAGGAGACCGAGATGAGATCGAAGGCCTTTCTTCGGATGAAGAGCACTAAATTCTTCTGCTAGGTTTGACTGACAATGATGCCAGCACTGTGCACTCAAAATGCTTCCCGTCTCAACCAGGTTCTGTTCTGCCAAGATTGTCATTATTGTGCTGGCCACCTGACTGGTTTGGGGGTTCCCTTAACTGGGCTTTTAGAAATGAACTAGGGGAAATCTTTCTTCCTGGGGCGTAGGTGAATGAGGAGTGAAATGACAGTATTGAGACATCTTCAGGTCTGCATTCTTTGTACCAGGGTAGAATGAATCTTAGAGCCAGGCATCACAGAGCACACTGTGATCCCAGCACAGGGTGGGATGGGAGGGTGGGGGGATGCTGAGGCCAACCTGGGCTCCATAAGGGGACCTGCTTCTGTGCCCAGTCTCCAGCATTCCCACTGACTGAAGGTCTGAAGGCCAGGAGTTCATGCTGTTTCCTGTGTACTTTTCTGGTCCCCACTAAGAGCAAGACTCTGAGCTAAGATGGATGTTGTTGAGGAAAAAAGAAAGCAGCTGTAGATGTAGTGTGTGCCCAGTAGGTACAGGGAACAGGTGGCTCATGGGTTTGTCTCCAAGCAAGTCCTTATGGACATTGTAAGTCCAGTGTCTGAGTTCCTGCCACAAAGAAGTAAAAGTCGGCTATGTATCTATAAGAAACAGAGGCAAAGGTTTCCTTCTCTAGGGAGGGTAAATCACCCCTCTCCCTGCTTCAGGGAAAGGACCCTTAATGCAGCCCTGTCCAGGCCAAAGGAGCAGTGGATGTTGGTCCTGAGCACACTGTGCTGATATGCTCTTCTGACAAGCACACTCCCTGGCCATTTGAGATTTCAGAGCTGTGCTGTCAGTTTTATGCCCTGAAATCAAGACAAGTGCCCCTTCTTTCTGCTTGGAGCCAGAGATCACTGTCAGAGCACTGGCACCAAGCAGTGGGGGAAGTGAGTCCTCAAACAACTAGGTCCCAGCTACTTCCGTGGCTTACTCCCAGGGCTGTTGACTCCCCTGGACCCCTCCAGGGCCCAGCCCCAAGGAAACCCCTTTGTCCTTTCTCCTGTGTTGTGTGTAAGTGCATCTGCCCCAGGGGAGCACAAAGCAGAGTTTTAAAGGAAGAGAGGAAAGAACTGCAGATAAAGGTCCTTATTCTGTCTTCATAGACACGCTTCCATGAGGCAGTTTCTGAGCAGGTGCAGCCCATGATAGATGGTTCCCGTCATGGGCTGAGAGCTGGTTCTGATTTAGTATGAGGAAATTATGGGTTAGATCACAAGCAGAAGCAAGGCTCACCAGCCCTTGGGTCCCACTTATAGGACCTGAAACAGATGCTGAGCCAGGCCAGAACCACCACAGGGAGGAGATCTCATCTTAGTGATGGTAGCATTCCAGCAAACAGTGGGTGCTGCTTTGCTCCGAGTCCCAGTGTCATCATGTGCCAACCCCTCATCCCCCACCCTCATTGATCTTGCAGTCTTTGAGCTTGGGTTTACCACTGATACTTTGAAGTGAGTGCATTAGCCATTGGTTAAGAAGGAAAATTAGGGAAGTTGACTCTGGGTTGCCAGGAAGGCAGAACATGTTTTTCTTAAAACATGGAAGATTTTAGAAAACATATTAGGCCACATGATTAAGGAAAAGTAGACTAGAAAAGGCTGTATTTGAGTTTGCTAACTAAACAAAGCCAGGTAATTAAAAGATGATTTATTTATAAAATCTGCTGATGTGTACTGTATGCTTAGGGGAGGTGCATGAGTTGGGAGAGCCTAGTATCCTTTGTAGTAGGCATACAAAGAGTCTAAAGAGTTTGTCAACTGCATGTGATGTCTGCTCCTGAGACCTCAGCTGATTCAGGGATGTTGGCTCTTCGTGGGGACACTGAGGGGCAGAGTATCTACTGAGGTCTCAGGGTTTCTGACTGATGCTGTGGTAACAGGTGCTGTCTTCTAATATGCCCCGTACACATAGGTTGGCCCTCCAGAGAGGACGGAAGGTAAGAGACTGGCTTTCTGTCTTAAATGCCTCTGCATTTCTGTAATAGTGTGAGGTACATAGTAGGCCCACAGTTTTTGTTGGCAGATACAGTCTGCCTGGTGAAAAAGATGCAGAGTCTGATGATCCATGTGTTCTGGAAACTAAAGAGAGAGACGAGTCAAATTTTTCTTCCCTGAGACAATCATGTTATGTAATAATTTCTAAGTGATGAAGGCATGGCTATTTTTGTAATTTTAAAATATGGCAGAGTATGAGAAGGTTGACAGAACCAACTGGGTTACTCTCTATTTATAGACCTTGGCCACATCTGATCCAGAGACTGCAGATTGGGGGAAGTGGGGCTCATTTAGATGACTGAGTAATGTAGGATGTGGTTCAAGGATCGCAGAGTAGACACCAGTCCTTTCCTGAGAACTATTCATACAAGAGGAAGATGTGTGCCCAGTGTGGAGAGGGGAAAGCATCTTTGCCATGGTTTGTCATGTCCCTTGGGATTATCTTTTTAAAATTTATTTTTGTTTTGTGGATAAGTGTGTTCTACCATTTTGCCTGCATCTGTGGCTGTATAACACACGTATACAGTGCCTGTGGAGGCCAGGAGAGTGCAATGGGTCATCTGGGACTGGAGTTACAGGTGGCTGTGAGCTGCCATGTGGGTGCTGGGAACCAGAACCCAGGTCCTCTAAAGGAGCCAGTGCTCTTGAGATGGTCTCTTAACTGTGACCACTGAGAGAATATGAGGTGCAGGAGAATCGTGGTACAAGGGTAAGATGTGGGCTCTGGGGACTATTTTGAGTGTGAGTGTGTTTCCTACTGCAAAGCTAAATTTAACAAACCTGTCTAGAATGGTCAGGGGTTCTAATTCATTAGTGTTCTGCTTGAAGGAGAGCTTAAGCAAATATTCTGATGACCCAGATTGGCTTGTCACGTACCCAGCTACAAGGGACAATTGAGTATTAGATCATTATCAGCTAGTATGAGAGGCCCACAGGGAGAGAAAATGCAAACATCTTCTCTATTGTGCTGACCTGAGATGGGCCCTGGGGCTGCTCAGTCTCTGCTCAGCTCTGCCAGGGTTTCTCAGTGACCCACCCTGCACCTCTGAACACTCACTCTGAGTCTCATGTTCCCCATGTCTGCTTTGTGTCTTTACTAGGAGTGAAGTAGGTTCCAGTGTCAAGAGAAGTATCTTGTTTGGTTCTGGATTGTTTCTCTGATATGTGGAATGAACAGTTATCAAAAGAACCAATGGTAATCGTGTACACCTTTCCTCAGAATGTTGGGGAGCCCCACTCCCGTGCCCTAGTGATTGAATGGTCTAACCCCCTACACACCTTTTTTAAAGAAAAGTACAGATTTAAACCCTGACCTTAAAAATTATTACTGTATCTTTGGAACACAAGCATGCTTGGTATGTGTGGTGGTGGTGGTAGTCCTGAAAACTTTGTGTGTGCTTACCTTTATATATGTACATGTGGATATCACTCTGTATGTAGAGGTCAAAGGACAACTTGAAAGAGTTTGTTCTCTCATTTCACTTGACACTTGAACTGCTTAGCAGTCTTGACAGCAAACACTTGACCATTGAGCCATCTTGCCAGCCTTTTTTTTTTTTTCTTCTTTTTGAGATGGAGTTTTGCCATGTGGCTGAGACTGGCCTTGCCCTCTCAATGCCCTTGCCTCAGGCTCCTCAGAACTGAGATGACAAGTAGGCACTGTTGGTGGCTCACATGCCTCTTCCCTCACCACCAAGAACCTGAGCAGCAGAGGTCATGCAAAGACACTCAAGCCCAACTTGCTAACCGGGGTCCTCCCTGCTGTACTTGTGAAAGAAGTGGCCGTCATTGCCTTTGTGCTTCTGTTACCAAAGATATGCTACAAAGACATGGACTTACCAATGCCCAGGTTATGTGCTTTATGAGAAAAACAATGTCGATTTTACCTGAAGTTCAAGGGCATAGCCTACATTCATCAGTAGCACAGTTTGGTGATCTCAGTCCTGTCTCTGCTCCGCTGAGGCTGAAACAAAGACTTGGGAATCAGCCAGCATGGCCTGAGACTCTGCTGGTGCCAGCATCAGAATGAGCCAGGCAGAGTCAGTCTTAAGGATGAAGTTTCTTTTCTCCTTGAGCTCAGAGTCGAGCAAGACAAGGCCGCAGTTGACAGAAGACCCAGCAGAATGGGAAAAGGGCTGCAGGCAGCCTACACTGCAGTAGTTTCCAAATGTGAGCCCATTCAGAACCACCTGAGAGGTCTCACACTGTTTCCGGTGGAGTTAGTGTGTGGTGGGACCTGAAAAGCCTCATTTTTACCATCCTAGATGATAATGACACATCTGGGACGTGATTTGAGAATCAGGGAAGTAATGCTGGACTCCAGCTAGGTAAGTGGGGACATGAAAATTCTTACAGTAAATCATGACATGAACAGAGGTATAGAAATGAGAGCCCAAACAAGTATGCTGGCAAGTCCCAGGACAGTCCCATCAGGGGGGGAAAAAAAAAGGGGGGGTGGTTATTACAGTCCTGGCAGAGAAGAGTCTCAAGTCCCAGAGGGAATAAGGTGCCACAGGCTGCAGGCAGAAAAGTGGTCCACGCGTACCTAATCAGCTGCACCGAGGGGGATTCTCTGGTTGAGTGGACTCAGCATCATGACTAAGATTGTTGCTGTAGACAGAGATCTGGGGTAGTAGTCATTGTGTCATGCATTTATCCCTGGACTAGTGGGAGACAAATTAGAATTTTGGGACAGCTGTCATAGCAAGTGATCCAGAACTGGATTTTGGTCTTTAGTTACACAAAAGATTCATGCCGAAGTAGCACAGTGGAAAGATGCAGAAGGCACAGCACTAAGGCATAGCCCAGATAGAGTACTGGCTGGTACACATAATAGGCCACAGGAAGCCAGGGATGTAAGAAGAGCCCTGCTCTCAGAGGACTTAGCGCCTGCAAGGGATGACAGACACAGGTAATACACTATGAAGGCAAACACTCCTGAAAAGGCTTCCTGGAGGAGAGCTGAACTGAGCTGCAAGCACTGGCAGGGTGCTGGCTTGGTGGTATGGGTCAGAGAAGCTGTGAGCCAGAGGTGGGAGGTATGGGAAGGAGGAGCATGGGCAGGCTACACTGGAGATAAAGCAAGGACTGGAGAGCTGGGCAGGAACAGAATAAGGCCAAGTATTCCATTGACTGGCCTTAGAATGTGTGCTGTGAACCGAGGACAATGTTGTAGTTTAGGTTTGAAATGCCACCCTTAAAGACCCATGTGTTAAAGGCTGCCCCCGGCACTATTGGGAACTAGAGAAACCTCTGAGGTAGGCCTGACCCCACAGTCATTGAGGCCATGCCCTTGCTTTCTTTTTGCCTCCTTCCATTACAGGCCCACAGCAGCAGGGACAAATGACCAAGGGTTGAAACGTCTGATACCATGAACCCCCTCTTATTTTTTCAGGCATTTCGTTATAGGACAGTTCCAACTAAGCCTGTGTGAACTGTTGAAGCAGGCTGGAGACCAGAATAGTTGGGGTGCTGTGGCCGGGTCCAGGTGCAATGCAGGAGAGGCTGGCGTATAGGACACTAAGAGCAGAGACTGGGGAGACTCAGGCAACTGGAGGTGGAGAGCCAGGGACAAAGATGACTTCTGCCAATCCAGTTTTCAGAGCGATGATCTGCCAAAGGGAACAGTCATTTGTGTAATTCTGTCTTCTAAATTGTGAGTATGAGCAATTAATGGGCCAGCAGACCTTTGTCCCCAAGTTGAAGCTCAGGGCTGATACAGGAGTCATTACCATTCATGTGGCTGGACCCTGAGGGCTGATGAACTCATTAGGGAAGACTGTCAAGAGCACACTCGTGGTCTGGGAACACCAGATCGCAAAGGAGATGTAGGCTCAGGAAAAAAAGCAGATCCAAGAAGAACTAGGAAGGCTCAGGGGGCAAGGTCTTTCCAAAGGGGAGGGTTACTAAACTAAAGCCTCAGCAAGGAGGAGAGGGATGGGGAAAGAAACAAGGCGCTGCTGAGGGGCTGGGGTACCAGTTGCAACCCCCCCCCCCAGAGTAGTGGGTAAGGTGGCGCTGCGAGTCACTTCTCACAAAGCATTATTATTAAGTTCTAGCTTAAGGGGTAGATTGGGTACAGACCCATCCAAGTAACTACTGAAAAAAAAAAATCTCTACGTAAGGCCTGGAGGGAGTTGGAGAGAGGGGTGTGAGGGTAGAAGAATGGACCAAGGAATACTCCTAAGGTGGGAATGAAGTGACTTGTGGCTCCTTCCTGAACAGGAGGTACTGGACTCAGGAGGTTCTCACAGGACAGGTGTAAGGGGCTCCCTGAAGGATGGGGAGCCATCTCTGTCCTAGTTGTGTACATCTCCAGATGTTGATATAATTTCAGTCAGGACAGAAGCTGATGGCTCATTCTTGTTTTGAATCTAGAATTCAGAATGACACCCCAGAGTTTACAGGGGTTCTTATATTTGTGTGCCTCTGTGAAGATATATATTGGCATGGGGGACACAGTAGTGACAGTATGGCAGACGACACTTAGGGGAGGCCCAGCAGCAGCAGCAGCAGGGCTGGAAGCTAAGACAGTGGCCTGCAGACACTTGCAAAGTTTTTGGAGAATGAACAGAGTGGTCCCATAGTGTGCATCTGTGGGACTGGCATCTTAACTGGGGGACCCAGGGACCCTCTTGGTCCTGTGTGGTGTCCTAGAGCAAGGCACAGACTTATGGTATTAGTGCTTACTGAGCACTAATCCCTCTACCCAGAGACAGCAGCAGGAATGAGACTGTGTTCCTAGCCCAGGAGCTTTACAGTGAAAAGTTTATTAGGAGGGCGCTTATAAGACATGGCTCCTTAACATTGGGGTACAATGATGTAAGATACAAAAGTTAGAAAAAAATCTAAAACACTATAAATACATGCTTTTTACAAAGATACTAAAGCCCTGGATGGGTGAATAGTGACAGTAACCTCAGCCTCCAGGCATCCCCAAATGAGAGTCCACACAACCCCACTTGCCCTGGCAGCAGCAAAGGCTTCTGGGATAAGAATGACTCCAAAAGTTTTCAGTCCCAGGAGGGAGGGGCCTTTGGTGCAGAGGACATGCTGTTGAAGGGCCTGGTCTCTACTAGAGCCACATGTTTGTGCATGTCACCTCGTGCTGACCCAGTCTGGTCTGATGTTTGTGGATCCTGTACCAAAAAAACAAAAACAAACAAACTGCAGCCTCCATCAAGGTTCAGGACTGGCTGTGCCCAGCTCCACTGAGTCTCTGTCCTGGGGGTGGAAACCTTTACAACCGTCTTTACAAAATTAAATAGTTATATGTCTGAATGGTTTTAAGGACTTGTTACATAAATATGAAAAGAGCAGAACGCTAAACACCACTTTTGTGTTAACATCAGCCAACTGCAGGGGCTGTTTCAAAGGTGATAGCCATGCCTCAGCACGTTCCCCTCCATTCAGTACGTCCCGTCAGCCATGCCACATCTTCATGCTTGACCCCCATCCTGGCGTGTGGCTTTCCACCACTTGGGAAGTTGCTGAGCACTGTGAAGACTGGTACTTAAAGACGCCAGTGATGGAACCCTGATGCCACTCAGGGGAAATGTGAGCTCTGACCGGGTTCCTGCTAAGGTAAAGGGCACACACATCTAGCCACTTAGAAATACAGTGCAGAGCTGTGTCCCTTCTGCTGCAGGTGTTTTCCAGCCTCTCAAGGACTTCAATAACAGAGAAAACCTTGGAAATGGCAGCTTGGGGCTAAGAATGAAGTCAGATGCTCGCCTCTGCCCCAGACAGCTCAGGCACATGCGTGACTGCACACACTATTAAAACCTTTCTGTGGTTTGAGTGAAAACATCAAGTCCTGGAATATACCCCTGCTCTGAGAAGCAAGTGACGGAAGAGCAGGACCACAGCGCCCCATAAGCACTGCAGCTCCATACATTAATAGTCACCGACAATAAAAATAATACAACACTCTCAGGACAGTGGAGAAGTCTGCCAGCAGCCTTGCTAAGAGAGTCCCTGCTCTCCAATTCCAGGCTTTTCTCAAAATGCCAGGGCTTCTACAGGCCGGCAATCCACATGGCTGTGTTACCTGCACATGTGCTTAAAGCTGGGGAGCCGAAGGGTAGGTACAAAGTGAGCTTCTTCAGGGTACTGAAGATGAGATCTCTGTCCACCACCATGTGGGTCAGTGTCAGCAGAAGCCCGAGGCTGGCACAGCTCATGCAGTCAGGTCACCTGAAGGAAGCATACTCTTCAAAGGCACCGCGGCACTGCCTTCCAACTGTTTCAGAAGTACAAATGCTGTTCATACAAGACGAGAAGGAAAGCTAACTCAGGAGGACACTTAGATGTACCCAAAGGACCTGTGTTCTCCACCATGGAGTGGCATTTTCTAGATCCCAAGCCTTATGTTTTCAGGGATGCCAAGAGTAGACCTGCCTAGAGTTCCCTTGTACATCCTTCTCCAGCAACTGGCCAATAAAGCAAAGGAGTCAAGTAAGTAACCTTTGGCAATAAGAGAGGAAAAATAACTCTGTGACTCCCAGGAGCAGCCATCAGAGTAGACATTAGCTAAGCACTGCAGGTTCTTGTGCACTTCCCAGATACAGAATGGGCTGTGGGGTGACTGTTAATACTGTATGGAGTTCTCCAGGCACCTAGGGGATGATGATGGGCCACAGGAAGCCCCTAGGAAACTAGGCAGCAAGTGAATAAGGCAGGTCTTCGTGAACTATCATCATAGCTTCAGTAGAAACCACATCAGAGCATCCTTATGCTGGGCCTGACTCAGAGCACAGGTGACATAGAGGCAGTTCCAAGGACTTCTGTGTCTGAAGCAACCGTCTACAGACCCATTTCAAGCCTGGCACAATGTTCACACGCACTTTCTGCCCATAGAGGATGGGAGGCATTCAGAGCTGCCTTTGGGTTCTGTAGCAACAGCCTGGGGGGAAGATGTTCACGGGCTTCTTGTGTCTGAAGGAGAGTTGGGGAAAAGCAGACCCAACTGGAAACATGCTTCCCAGCACTTCAGAGGCCACAGGATCCTGCAGGAGAGACACCTGAATGTGCCCCCAGGTCTCTGGAGCATCAGATTTGTCACATTAGAGGGTGCACTTTCTTCCCTTCTGGAACAGGACATGACTTCAACAGGAAATACATGCAAAAACATGGCATAGTCATTTCACAATAGAAACAGCAGCCTAGAAGAAAGTACCAATTTCAGGTGGCGATCCCATGTGCTGTGTGCTTAAAAAAAAAAAAAAAAAAAAAAAAAAAAAGGCCAGGAAAGGGACTTGTTTCTTCCAGTTGAAATAATTTATATTAGTTTTCTCTGTAATTGCCACTGGGTATAGTGCTCATAATAGTCCTTTTCATTTGCCCATGTCAGCCTTGGATGTCTTGTTACCTTCTGGTGAACTGACTCAGCTTCCAAACCTCAGCAAGCAGCAGTTGTTGGGTCCGCTCTGGTCTCTCAGCCAATGCTGTACCAGGATTGTTTTTATAAAACAGAAGACATTCCCCAAGAGCCCATGCTAGGTGAATTCATTAACGCAACTGGCTCCATAAAGCAACATCAGAAAATAAGGTGCCACTTCACCTGGGCAACATCCGAATCTGAGAGTAATGTGATAATAAGAACTGTACATCCCATACATGCCAAGCTTCAGCAAGTCCTTCCAAGGCATGTTTCTGTCTGTGCATTCTGACAGTGTAGGCCACAGTTCACCGGGTACCCATCCCTGTGAAGTGGTGGGACAGGGCATGCTCCATTGAGGATTTTAGCCACAGCTACAGGAAGCTAGGGCCCTCTTCCACACTCCAGCCCTTGAGAAAGGCACCTTCCTTTTAGACGGTCACATCCCAGATCTCTGTCATTAAACAAGGAATCAGATGGCAACACACCACCTGTTAGCTCATGCCACCAGATCAGAAGCCATTATTTGGGCTTCAAACTGGGGTGCATGATTGTAGCGCAGACACAGCTGTTCATAAATCATCCCTGGGATTTGTGTGTGTGTGTGTGGTTTGAGAAACAGGTTGTTGTCTTTGACAGGAACAAGGTGGATGGAGTTCTCTTCAAGGCCATTTTCCCCAAGCCCACCCTCCCCACCCACTCCCTTCACTGCCATTATCTCTAAGACACACTGGAACAGCGGATGCTGGGAGAGCCCATCTGGGTGAGGACCTTGTCAAGCCACTGCAAGGGCCCATTCAGGTGCAACTCGATCCAGCACGGGGTACTGGTTACTGTCTGTCTCCTGCAGAAAGAGGGAAGAGGTGTGAGACTTTATAAAGAGTCCAGAAGGACACACATGCCAGTCAGAACACTGCTTCCTGCCACCCCAAGCCAGAGATCTCTTCATGCTAGATACTGCCTGGAGGTGTCTAGCCTCCACTCTTCCAGCCAAGGAGGGCTTTGAGTAAGTCAGGTTCTGCTGGAGGGTGAGGTCCTTAAAGAGTTAAAGGTCAGTTTCCAGGGACTGTGACAAGCCCCCTTGTGAATGAAGGTCTCCCTGGCTCCCAGCTCTGCCACTGGGTAAGTACCTGCAGCCCTTCTCCAAATCAGCCCCACAGCTGTCACGACATGTCTGTCTGATGGAGAGTGTTTTGAAAAGCACTGGCAGAGCCCACATGCTTCAGGTCCCAGTGTGCTGCTATAATCCCATCTACAGCTTATTTTGGAAAATCTTACCAGCAGAGCTAGCCGGGGAACAATTACTGGAAAAACCAAGGCACACCACACATTTCTTTGCCTCCAAAGCACTTTGTCTAAATTCAGACTACTTGGTGACGCAGCTTGCAGGCAAGCTCCCAGAAGCCTCCAGTGAGCAAAGGCTATCTGCTGTGGCGACATGTGGGTGCCAGCTGGAGGTGAGACCTGGGCCGCAGGCCCACTTACAGCTGCTTTAGAAAACTAGCCTGAAACCTTACTCTGCTTGGCCCACAGTGCAGGAGGGCATGGCTGTTCTGGGAAGGGGCCGCACCCGCCACTAGGCTGCTGTGCCACACTGCCAGGTGGCAGTGACGCAGTAAGCTGTGTAGGACGGGGTGTGCTGGCAGGGAGGGTATCCTGCATGGTGATACACTGCCCTAGAGAGGGGCTTCTGCCAACACATCCAGGGCCTTTATCCTGAGGGTGACCCTCCGTGATCATCATGTCCTCTGCCTGAATACTTAGGGAGGTTCACTTCTGCCTGGGGTGTCTGCCTGAAGGCAGTGGGCCTCACAGTTCTTTGCCTTTTGGGTTTTCACACTAAAGAATTGATTTTTCTAACCTCTCACTCTCATTCCCTAAATGATCTAAATCCTGAACTAAAAGGTTGGCTCAGGCATTTCTCCAGCCAGACCTTTGGGCCAGGTCATCATAACATGGCTGAAAGTTCTTCGCAGTCTGACCACTGGTTGCCCTCCCTGTACTTCAGATCAAAGGGCGCAAAGTGCTTTGCTCCCAGGCACCAGCACCACAGGGCATCCATGAAAGAATGGCAGCTCTAAAATTTTAATGGAGAAGCTGGGCTTTACAGACCTCCATCCTCGGCTGAGAATCCGACTTTCCATAAGTCATGCTCATCGGGATTTCATTACGAATGGTGGCCCAGAGCCAATATTGAAATGGGTTTGGCTAGGGTGCAGAATGACTGCAAAACAAAACTGATTCCAAACATCTGGAAAAATGAAGAGAAGGGGCGAGGAACTCGCAAGACGCTGGCTGCAGCTGATGTGTGGGTACCTCTCTGGCTGTCTGCTCTGGGGGCTAGGGAGGAGGCATGGAGCAGAAGGGTATGTGGCCCTGCCTCCCAGAGCATCCTGTCCGGTATGGGGAAAGGAGACTAGATTCTCATTAAACCTAGTCTAGATGGTCTGAAGTCCTCAATGGAACAGAACAGGTGGGCACAGCTCTTACTGGTGCCATGTTTAAAGTGCTAACTGGAATTCGTTAAAGAACAAATAAGCCATTCTTTATAAAACACTCAAATCTTCTTTGTTGAGTTTACTAGTGATGGAGCCTAGTGATGGAGCCAAGTGGTAGTGTCAGGGAGACAGTCACCCCAGAGAGACTGAAAACAGCAATGCCAGGAGAGGCCAGGATGGAACATGTCTTTTCCACTTGACTTCATGCATGTTCTTTTTGCTCCCATATCTCTGTAAGAATAATGTCAATGTCCCCACACTGGGCCTGGAAATGCTGACCAAGCCTGAGACCTGCTGAACACTAGGCAAAGACCATGCTGCTGGACCTGGCCACCGTACCTGCTGTCCCTAGTCCCTGAGGACCTAGGCCAGTTGGCTCTTCCCTGTCACCTGCCAAGAGCACCTTATGTCACTGACCTGTACTCCGCTCCCCAGCCTTTGACGAAGCTCATACGAATGGTGCACATGCGAGTCAACTGGTAGACGGCCTCAAAGCCCTGGTTGACAGACTGGGCCAGGAGGGCAGCAAATTCCTGGTTGTTGAAGATCTTCAGGTTGCACCCTGCCAATCACAGATAGTCAGAGCAATCCTAGAAATGCCCAAATGGCCTGATTGACACACCTCAAGTGGTACATGGTGGTTCCACTCAGTGGCCACCTGCTCAGCTCATCCCCATGCAAGGAGGGGCCCTCTCCATTCCTGCACTTGATCTGCACACCCTTGCAGGGAGAAGCATCTGCAAGGGACACAAAGGCCAGCTGTGGGGATATCAGATGCTAAGAAGGAAGACTGGAAGTAGGCTTGTGTGACAAGGATTTTCTGCAGAGGTTGAGACAGGACTCTAGGGTTCAGAGAGGCAAGGGACCTGAGCCTAGCTGTCGATGCCTTGTGGTGTGGTAGCACCTGTGGACAGGTGCTCCCCCATTGGTACAGCAGCAGGGAATGTAGCAGTGAGGTGGGTATGACGCCCACTGCTAGAGTAAAAAGCACACTCTACCTCGCTCCTCTGATGATGGCCCTGCCTTATGCTGGAGCTGAGGAAGAGAGCTGGGTCACATGGTGACCTCTCCATTCAAGCTTAGGCCAAGGTTACATCAATAACAGTACACTCAATTCTGTAGAATGCAGCTAGAGACAAACACAGATAACATGGAAAATAAACCTTGTTTGAAGTCCTACTGCCCAGGTGCTGGGAGAGCATGACCCAGAAAACAAAGGCCAAAGGCCATGCGCAGGAACTAGAGAACCAGCATGGACCCTACTGGCTGTGGACTCTGCCTCTCCTGGTGAGCCTGTGTCTCCTTTAAAGGGGGAGCGGAGGGTCTTTGGGGCCCTGACAGATTCTAAGCTGACAGTACACTATCAGAGATGCCAGGGAGGGAGATGGAGTGGGAAGGCAAGAGGCTAGGAATACCACCCCTGCATGCTCCTGGGGAGATGGGCAGAACAAAGCCCACACCCACTCCTGGGGCTGCTGAGCCAACAGACTGAATACCAGGCTAGTCAGCCAGGCCCCAACAACTCAGGCCTGCTGTGGCTTCTTCCCAGCTCTTGGACTTGGAGAAGTTAAGTGTGGCTCACTCTGAATTCTCTCCCAAGGCTTTCTTAGAGCCATAGAGGTTGCTAGAGAGAAAGTGTGAGCTCAGAGATGTAAATGTGCTTTGTAAATGAAACCACAAAAGATGCCAAACCAGAGCTCCATTCCCAGCTGAGATTGCCTGCATTCTTTGGTTTACCCTGCCCACATCCCACTACTCCACTGTCACCTACTAAGCAACGAACAGGAAGAGGAGCTAGTTACCCTGTGTCTCAGACAATGGCCTGACACAGGCCACGTGTTATATGAGGAGTGCTTTGGCTTTTTGCCTTGGTGGGGTCCAGCGGACATCCTCAGAAAACCCTCAACTCCCCAGAATAAAACCCGAACTTTTATCACTTCGTTCAAGGCCCAGGTCCAGGATGCCTTTTAAATATCTCCCTGTCTCTTACATGGCACCTCCAGCCAGTGTCCCAGCCTACATTTCTTCTATACCCTTGTTATAGTGTCCTCCCAACCACACGCCCTCATAAACTTCACCCCATCATCTCCTGGCACCTAATGTCTCCTCCAGGATGTCCTCCCTATCAGCTGCTTGCCTGGGGCTTAGAGCCCTCCGTGTGTCACACTCATCTGTCTTCATCTTAAACACTATAAAAGATGTGAGTACAGAAGGGCCACCCCGCCCCATCCACCTCTTCATCCTGCTCCTGTTCCTGTCACAGACCCCCAAATACTCTTCTTTTTGGAGGAATTAGTGAAGGAAAGGAACCACCTCACACCCGTGGGTGATGGGCGGTGCCCTGGGCTATAGATCTGTTAGATGGTGGCTCTGTTCTCATGAGCTTCAGTGGTAGACAAGAGTGTTGACACTGCAAACACCAGTGTGGAGGAAAGGCATGAAAGCCTTCGCGATCATGGCCCTAGGGCAACCCTTGAGAGGCTTACCTGGGGGGATCTTGCAGACAGTGGCAGGGTGCCAGCCATAGCGTTGGTTGCAGTTGGGTGACTGAACAAAAATAGCACTGTCACTGAGGCACTCTGCAAAGACCTCCCCTCCAATGTAGTAGAGCCGCACGCCTCTCCCTAGGGAATCAGGAGACACTGGGTCAGAGAGACCACCTCACAGGGCAGCAGAAGCTGCAAGCAGCTACCCCAAATGAGAGGAGCCCAGAGCCCAGCCCAAGTGGGAGAATGGTGGGCAGCTCTGAATCCTTAAAGCAGTTGGAAATAGGGTGGCACATGAAGGAGCCTGGACCCAGTTTCTACCATTACCCAGACCAGGCCTGAGCTCCCTAGAGGGGAGCAGTAATAACCCATTGTAGTGGCGACTGCAATGGTGCCTGGTGAGAGAGCTGCTGCCACCCCGCTGCTCTAGCTCCACCTCCCCCCAAAAAGCACAGAAGTGCCTTGGTGAATGAAGCCAGGGTGCTACTGAGCCCTCTGGCCCCTTGCCAAAGGGACCTCCCATCACATGGTTTCCTAGTGCAACTCTTGCTTTCCCTTCATCACCTAAATCCACTCCAGATGGACAGAAATTAATTTTCAATTGGCTCAGCACTCCAGCGGTTACGTAAACATTGAGCTCTGCCCAGTGGGGATGTCCCCTTATGTTTAGGAGTTCCAGAGTGCAAGAAAACAGCTCAACTTGAAGACCAGAGTCTTGTAGGACCAAGTGACATCTACACGCTGCCTGTCCAGACCTCTACTGCTGCTCTACCCCACACTCCCACCTCCTCTCATCTGCATCCTACTGTACTTGGTGCTATGGGGGGGGGTCTCAGTACCCCCCCAGGAGGCAGAAGTGGGGGGGACGGGACGACCCCATTACCAATGTGCCGTCTTGTAAGCTCCACGGCTGCGTTCCGATTGACATTGGACAGCAGACCCAGGCAGAAGCGCTCTGAGTTGGAGGGATCAGTGAAGCCATCCACTGTCATGGATGGCTGTGAGGCATGGAATGTCTCCCCAACTCGCTGGTTCAGTTCGTAATAGGAGATGGAGCACCAGAAGGCCGGCTCACAGTAGGTCACTGGTTGTAGGTCTGCAGAGACATGGAGTGTGCCAGGTCAGTGGATACCCAGGGAAGCTCTAAAAGACTCTGATCCTTTGCCACCTGACCCCAACTTCCATTGCACAAACCCTTCAGGGTACCAGCGAGTGAGGTCCTCAGAGTCTGAGGGAGAACCTGCTAGCCTCTAAGGGAAGTGACACAGTCCATTTCTTTGGAGCATAGCCTTCCTGTGAACAGGAGCAGCCTTCAGAGAGAGGCTAGCCCAAACACGAAATGAGTCAGGACCAGCCACCACCAGGGCCAGCACTGTGAGCAGCCCTAAGTATGCTCTAGATGGGGTATGAGGTCATGCCATCTACAAAGTCACCTCCCAGAGATTCTCAAAGGAGCCCATGTCAACCTCTGCCTCCCAAAGAGCCTTTATTTTGGTGCCATTTGGCCTGAGGAACAGCAGTTGTTATCTGTCATGTGTAATGACATGGCCACAGTGGTTTTGTGAGTTCAGCTGCACTCAGGAACAGGAAGGGCCATGTGTCTCACAGCAGAAATCTTGGCCCATCTTTTATGTAGCTGATAGCTGTTAGAACAAAGGGACACAAAGCAACAGATTTTTTTTTTTTTTTTTGGTGGGTGTACAGCTTCAGCTAGGAGCTCCTCAGGGCACACTAGCCACATGGGGGCCAACTCTCTTTTAGGACAGCAGCTGGGGACTCCTTAAAAGGGAATCCTTTCACATGGTCCAGCCTTCCACTTCCATGTCCCAGGACCCATGTGGAATTAAAACAGCCCTGCCCCAACCTGCACACCTCTGCGGCATTCCCTTGGCAGGGCCCCTGCAGCAGGCTGGGTTCCAGCAGCTCCTCCCTCGTCATCCCACAGCCTCCTACAAGACTTCATGCACCCAGCACTATGTCTAGATGCTCCTCCACACAGTAGCTGTCCTGCTGGCCTCGGGGAGGAGCTTCAAGCCCACGTGCTCACTGTCTCTACCCATCTCAGACCCAACTCTCACTCCGGAATACTCTTAAGTATTTGTGCAGTCACCTAGTGCTCTTGTCTTTGTGTGGGCTGATACCCTAAGTGTCCGGACTATCCAATTTGACTGTGGCGTCCTAGAGTCCCCCCCTCCTCCAGTGCATGAGGCTCAGATGAGAAGGGAATAGGGATGGCTCAGCACTGGCCTGAGAACCCTGTCTGCTTCCCACCAGACAACTTCTTAAAGTAGAGAGCTGCTGGGACCCCTGCTCAGTATCTCCTGAGTGCCCAAACCAAAGAATAACACATGCTGTGTTGCCCACAGGGAAGGGCCCAGGTGGCCCCAATCTCCTGCAGTTCAAGCAGATAGTCCTGTAAGAGTGAGGTGGGGACATAGCCCCCCAACTTCACATAGTACACACTACCAAAGCCAGCTCCAAGGTCAGCATACCCCAAGCTAATGCAGATGACTACTTGGGAGGAAGGGGGTCCAGATATAATGGGATGGTCAGCTTCCACCTGGATACTAATAGCATATGTCTACCTCATCCTCCCAAGTTCTGAGAATAAAAACACTTCCGGATGTGTTCCCGGGGTTGGAAGTACTCCCCAACAAAAGCCATTGCCCTTTATGTTTAACCAGATCATAGAGTAATTCACGAATGCTCCCTATGTCAGCCTCTACATTGCCCTGCCCATATACCCCATCCTCTACACCACTGGAGTCGGTGGATTCCCTGAGCTAACTCAACTAAGATGCGGGCATGCAACAAGCATTATATCAAACGGACAGTGATAATAACCTTGACTATGAACTTGGGAACACCCTGGTCCTATCTTAACCTTCCAGATGCACCAACTTCCTTCCCTCCTTCTCACAGTTAAGAAAGATGCTGAGGGGATAGAGACAGGATCAAAGCTACTGTGCAGAGAAGGGGAGTGATGAGACAGGAGCAGCTGTGGCCTGTGCCCCTGGCTCCTGAGGCTGGACTGAGCCACATCAGTCATGTCCGGTCCTGGCATTGCTCCATCCTTCCACATTCCAATGAGATAAGCTGGATTCTAAACAATTTAGCCACTAGAATGTGAGCTATGCTGCTTTGGACATAGGAAGAAGGAAGGAAGGAGGAAGGGAAAGAAAGGAAGAAGGAAGGAAGGAGGAGCCTAGTACTAGCCAAGTTTAAAAATGGGTCAGATGACCTATTGGTGCTGCTAGCTGCTACTGCCCAGGTACAAGAGGTACAAGCTCTACCTACCTTGAAGTGTGTTTCTAGGAACATGACCTTCAGCCCTGGTCTGTTTCCTCATCTATGTCAAGACTGGTTCTAGAAGATAGCTAAAGCTGGCCATCTTAGTCACTGTTTCTGCCATGTTTCAGCCTAAAAGTGACAACTTTCGCTGATCCAGGTTAGCCCTGGCTTCCTCAGTAAGTCACCCCCCCCCCAAATTTCAAAAGTCCCATCTAGAATTCTGTGGACCTAGCCCAGGCACAAGAGATTGAGTGTTAAGGTTCCCAGGAATACCAACACCATCAATCCAAACAAAGGGTGGCAGACTACCCATGGTGTCTTTTATACCTGGAGGAATAGTGTTCTGGGGAATGGTACACTTCCTTGGGAAGGGTAGAAGGTGGCACTCCCAGGCAGATCTATACCCCTCCTCCAAACGCCTCTGTGACACCTCCCTCTCCGCCCCCTCAGGGATCCTGAGCAGCACAGTAGGGAGAATGGACTCAGGTACACATGCCATCATGACACAGCCGTGTCATAGCACCAGGACACAACTTCAAAGGGTGCTTGTTTTCTCTGGCTCACAAACAGGGCTTACTAGGGCAGGCCCCCTCCATGGCTTTTAATTCTCTACAAGGCTGCACCTTTGGGTTCCCTCTCTCCCTCCCTTCCCACTACCAGCCCCGGCTGCTCCCTTCGGGCACTTTAGCTATAGCATGTGCAAAGCAAAAAGTATAGTTCCTATTTCTTCCGGTAACAGTAGCCCCCCCCACCCCCATACACAAGTCTTTTTCTACCAGAAGTCAGATCTCTAGAGAAAAAGAACTGTCACTAGTGTAAGTATGTGGCAGCAGCTACAGACAGCACCCTCCTTAACTCTGAGCTTCCTAGAAGCTCAAACAAAAAGGAAACATAGTTGTTAGGTTTGGGCCTGAAATGTACCCCATAGGCTGATATAACTGAATACTTGGTCCCTAGCTGGTGCTGTTGTTTAAGGAGGTTATGAAACCTTTGTGACACCAGGCCAAGCTGGCAGATGTAAGACCCTGGAAGCAGGCCTAAGGTTACAGCCTGCCCTGAGTTCTGGTTCCATGCTCCACTTCCTGATCTACCAAGGTTTGAACAAACTGTGCTTCAAGATCCAGCCAACACGGGCTTAGCTGCTCCAGCCACCATACCATTCCCCACCCCCAAGTGAGCACACCTCAGGTTCCAGGGTTTCCCAACAAGTGCAGAGGTAGTTTACACAGGCCCTGAAGACTTGGTGTTCAAAGATCCCTGTGATAGCAAGACTACAGACCAGCTAATGCCCCTAGGAACACAGGTTTGCTCTGCCAGCCCAAGGCTTCCACAGACCTGGAGTGTTAGAGACCTTGACTCCACAAAGATCAGCTCCCACCAGCCTGCCCAGTCCTTGCTAATCTCCTCCCAGAGCAGAGGTGTTGGAGACACGAAGCCTCCACACTAGCCATCAGGGCCCCTGCCTCCACCAGCATGGTGTAAGCCAGGCTTCTCAACTGGCATGGGGCACTCAGTTCTCCTCTGGCCCCTGGCCAGCCTAACACATCGGCTGGCTTCAGTTCTGAGCCCCGTTCCAAGCTGGCACAGACTCTCTGTTTTGTTTAAGGAAAAGAAAACAGAATAAAACCCAGAAGGCGACACTCGGATTAAGGGGTGCCTATTAAAACCATGTGCAAAAGATTCCAGTCAGCAGAAGCAGAGGGGAAAAGAGGGGCACATCAACTTTCTCTTTAGCTGAGGCAGCCTGTGTGTGGGCAGAGGTCTGCACAGTGGGCACCACAGGACCTGAGGTCAAAGCAGAGATGGCCTGGCTAGTCTGGGCCCTCCACACCTGTGGAGGAGGACCTCTGCCTCAATCCTGAAGATTCCACCCTCCAACTCCATGTTCCTTCTGGCTGTCTCTTCCTAAGTCCTTTGCGTTTACTGGGGTGCCCTTCCCCACCTGTATGGCCCTGACCTGCAGGGCCCAGCACAGGTGACACAAGACATTCCCTTAATGCAAGGTAATTCATTCCCAGCCACCTGGGCACCTTCTCCTACCTTCTGTGCTAGAGGGGTTGGCCCTCTGTGGCCCTAGCATCTGGGTCCTAACTTCAGCCTGCTTCTGAGGTTGAGGCAGAGAGCTAGGACATACAGTAGAAAGAGTGTAAGCTGCTCTGAACTGGGACCAGTTTACTGAATCAGGAAAACAGCAGGGGCTGAAAACTGGACACCTGTGGCATTTGACTCCTGCCAACATCATGTTGGCCGTGTGTGTGTGTGTGTGTGTGTGTGTGTGTGTGTGTATGGGTACACGTGTGCACATGGGTATGTGCATGAGTGTGTGATGCGTGTGCCTTGGGACAACCTCAGGTGCCTGTCCCCAGCTTCTACCTTGAGACAGAGTCCCCTGCTCAGCTGTCCCATGAGCTTCCAGGGGTCTCTTGTCCCCACCTCCCTTCTTGCTGTAGGAGCACTGGAATCATAGACACATGCCTCCACATCCAGCATTCCTTGATTCCTGGGGTCTGAACGCAGGTCCTCATGCTTGCACAGCTGTGCCTAGTGAGCTACTTACCTAAGCCCCTGTCTGTGTTTTCATAAGCCTACTGAAGGCTGCAGCTACAGATAGAGTAGCCTTTCAAAGGTACCCTGTCTGGCAGCATGGACTCAGCTGGCTTCCCTTCATTCCAGGAGGCTCCTGCCACCTAGCCCAGTCCTACCCCAGCAGAGCAAGGCTCACCCTGCCATAGGTACTCCAGGAAGCCACTACCACAACAGACTCACCTCTCTGCTGCCCCAGGGCTCTCACAAGGACATCAGTTTCCTCAGCCTAGCCACAGTAACACCCTACATATGTTACTGTGAAGCAGGGAACAACTTACTCACTGGAGGGATTCAACTGCCACCTTTCCCTAACCTGCAGCTTCCTTCCCCAGTTTTCCTCAATCTTCCTGACTTAGACACTTAGGAAATTTCAGGTGAACCACCCAGTATGATGTGTCTGAACAGAAGCATGCCCAGCTCACAGCCCTTGCTCTGCAAAACAAAGGTCCCAGGGGTTCCCCAGGGCCAGTCTCCAAGCACCATGCCCTGCTGGGGCTCAGTCATGCCCTGCTGGGGCTCAGTCATGCCTTTGGGCTTCCATCACTCAGGACACTGCACTGATGATTTAGAGAAACAGCTTCGCAATGGCAGGAATCTCATCCTTCCTCAGACCTGAGCTGGGGCCTGAGTGGGGAAGAAAATGAAAGACATAACCAGATGTTGTACACTTTCTCTTTGCATAATAATTTCATAACAAGATCTTTAAAGGATGTAATCTGGAGATGTCCCCGTCTTTTTCGAGAAAGCACTGTGCTGGCTAGAATTACATCAACTTGACACAGGCTATAGTCATCTAAGAGAAGAGAACCTCAACTGAGCAAATGCATCCATAAGATGAGGCTGTGGGCAAGCCTATAGGGCATTTTCTTAATTGTTGATTGATGGGGAGGGCCCAACCCATTGTGGGTGGGGCCATCATTGAGCTGGTGGCCCTGGGTTCTCTAAGAAAGCAGGCTCCGAAGGCCCCTCCATCAGCTCCTGCTCCAGGTTCCTGCGCTGTTTCAGTTTCTGTCCTGACTTCCTTCAATGATGGGCTAAGATGAGGAAGTGTAAGCCAAATACACCCTTTCCCCCCAATTTGCTTTTCGGTCATGGTGCTTTATGGCAGCACTAGTAACCCTAACTAAGGCGAGCACTCCCAGTGTTTCATCTCCATCCTGCAGCGTGGGGTATGTAGTCACCAAACACAAAGGCTGTAGCTGTTTGCTACCTCCACAGCCCCCTTCTGCTTGCCTTTCAGCCCACTGCTGCTCTACCCTGTACCAACCACACACACCTGACTGCTCTGTGCAGGCTGCTGTCAAACCCCTGATGTCACACCTCAGCTCTTCTAACATCTCATTTTGCACTCCTGAGAGGTCTCCTCTACTGTCACTCACCCTCAGGCCACTGTGTCCTGTCTTTGCCTTCTGCCCCCAGCCTGTCTCTGGCTCTCTCATGAGCCAGGCCCCTCTCCCTCTCTCTACCTAATCTATCTACTCCCATGATGTCAGCCAAGCCTGTTGTGGTTAGTCTCTGTCTCTCCCTCCCTCTCCTTCTCCCTGTCCCTCTCCTTGATTTTTCCAGACCGTGAAACAGTCCTGGCCATCCTGAACTCACTCTGGCCTCAAATTTACAGAGATCTGCCTGCCTCTGCCTTCCAGGTCTGGGATTAAAGGCTTGTGCCCCCACCACCCAGCCAGTGGTATTTCTTGAATGGACTTGCTGGAATGATCAGTGAGTAAGGGAAAGAAGTGCCCAGCAGCCATTTTTTTTTTTTTTTTTTTTTTTTTTTTTGAAATAACAGGAGATGGACAGGACTCTTTCCTGTAGGCTTCTTGGAGGTATTGCTATGATAACCACCCTAGGACTTGGGGGCTGGGCCTCACATAGGCACTCTGTGCTCTATAGCAATGCCTTGGACCAACAGCAAACACAAAGCAATGGTTGCAACTTCATGCCTTGGGCCCCAGCCTTCCTGACTTTCCAGGGTGGTTTCAAGGCATAGCAACCTCTGCCAATTCTCTCTGGGCTCATCACACGTCACCAGGGTGGCCTCCTTGTGGTCCCAGTCCTATGCACACAGCCACTTCTTGAAATGGTCTTTCCTATTTTTCTAGCACGTTCACCGTAGCTTCCTTCAGGATGGCCACCAACTACTTGGGTTTCTTTCTGGTTTTCCTCCACGAACTCCTCATCAAATTCATACTCTATATAGTAGCCAGATTACCTCTATGACACTGCCATTAGGATCTGACCATCACCGCTCCTGCACACCAGCAACCTCCTGCTGGAAAGGGGGAGTGGAGTGAGGTGGGGGCAGGACTCAGCCACACCTTGCCTCTGCCCTTTCTGCCAGCTGATGGCCTCACATTGCTGGCTTCCTTGGAGCACATCTGCTCTTCCGTAAGCAATGTCCCTTATCTCATTCTACCCCCTGATGTCCACCTGGCCTTCAAGTGGATGTCCACCCACTTACACGCCTGCTGAGTCTGCCAAGCCCATTGCATATGATTTCCTCTTGGGTATACATGGTCCCCTGTCTATGCTTGCTCTCCCAGCACCACAGACAAATACAGATGTGATTAGATTGTGAAGGTCTAAGTATTCTCCCCAGCATGGCTCTAGACCAATGGTTCTCTCTCAGCTGTGGGTCTCAACCCCTTTTGGGGACATGTCAGATAACTTCCACGGGAGCCTCCTAAGACCAATATATAACACAAATATTTATATTACAATTCATAATTAGTGAAATTACAGTTATAAAGCAGAAACTAAAATAATTTTACTTTTGGGGGATGCCACATCATGAGGAACTGTGCATTAGAAACATTGAGAACCATTGTTCTAGACCCTGGTATCTATACATGGTATGGATTATACATGGTATGGGTTGAGGAAGCCAAAATTCAAAGCCAGTTTTTCTGTCTGATGGCTGTGTGACTGAGATGACCATAGGCTTTCCTGACCTGTGACAGGAAAAGTTAGCAGGCTTTTGCCCGTGGTTATGAAGACCAGCCCTCAGAGTATCTAGAAGAGGTCCCAGGAAATGCCCATTATCACTCTGCTCTTGGCTCATCCCCTCCCAAAGATTTAAAAGTATGTAAGAGATCCTAAGTCAGAAAATTCTGGCCCGAGGCTGCTGTCACTTCAAACTGGCCTGTGACTTTGCTGGCTTTCACAATGGAACCTGCCTGAACACAGTAAGGTGAAATGGCTCCAAAAATAAATCTAAAGCCCTTATCCCCAAAGCTGGGGGTTCACAATCAGCCTTCAGTCATAGTTTAAACTGTTTTCAGGAACACAGCCCCTATCAGGAATGTGACCTTGCCTCAAGCAAGCCCCTCCAGATTATGCTACAAAAAGTTAATTTGTATCTCAAAGTCATGTTTTGCTCCACCCACATGTCGGCACATTTCAAAGGCATTTCACATCTCTCCCAATATTCCTCATGCTTAGTTTTAGCCGATACTATCTGCCAAGGTCTTAAAACAAATGGCCACGGCAGCCAGTCCAATGCACTCTGCCCCAGTGTTTTACTGTGATCAACTGCTTTTCCTGAACCACAAAGCACCACCCCAGCCCCATGAACCCAAACTACAGACCAGACTATCAAAAGCTACCGAACATCTCATCGGTATTGAGCCCTTCTGCCATTTCTAGCCCCAAGGACTCCTGCAGAACCTCCCTCTCCCACGCTGGTGGAATGCTGGCAGGCAGGCAGAGTGACCCTCAGAACGCTGACCCGCAGTCCTACAGCTGAACATTGTTGTGGGAACAGTGGGGTCAGCTGATACAAACATTGTGAGATAATACTATGATAATCAAGACATCCAAATGGAGACACACATTTTCAAAATGCCAGATGCCGTGAACAGGAAAGGCAGAAGGGCCATGGTTTCAGTGGCACAACACACGTATACACTGCCCCACAAGCACCAGATAAACCATGATAGAACACTTGTGCTGGGCAATGCAATCGTGGGCACATTGCTTTCTCCCCCAATTCCTTATGTGTTGCTGTTTAAATAACAAGTTATTATGAGATGATATCCTCAGCTGAAATCTCAATGTGTGTCTGAGACAAGCTTCTGGGAGCCGGGGGCTAAGTCTGGGCAGCTGCCTGTGGCTTTGCCCCAAGCCACACACATGTGTTTGGCTGACTGAGCTGCCCCCCCCCCCCCCCCCCCCGCCCCGGGTCTCCTGGGCCTGAGGTCTGGGAGATTTCGTTCACTCACGTCTGAATGCTACCCAGGGGAAACACAAACCCAGCCTAGGCTGTCTTTCCTGACACCACTGATCTCGAGTTTCCCTGTTCTGAGGTGACCCCAGGATCACTGTAACCAGAAACCCCATGGGTTAAGCTGGGCTGGTGGTGAAGGAGGGGGCAGGGCTCACCTTCACTGTCCCTTCCTACTGAGGTAATCAGCTGAGCTACAGCCAGGAGTGGGGTGGTCCCCACCTTACCGATGAATACTCACCCAAGTTATTGTGTGCTGGGGACATCGGATTTGGGGATAGGTTTGGAGAGCCTGCAAGGTGAACACAGTTGTAAGATGTTATGGGAGTACTCTACAACCAAGACAGGATCACTCACCATGCCATCAGGAAGTCCTGGGACAAGGCTTGAGTCCCAGGAGCAGCCCAGCCTTGGCCTGGCCTCACGCACTCCCCACTACACATCTAGGCATGTTCTATCTGTGGAATGGATGGATGGATTGAGTAGCTAGCCTTAGAGAGCTCCTCTAGCACCTTATGAACCTAAGCAAGGCTTCAGCACAGGCCGTGGCGAGCTCAACAAGGCCAGCTCACACACCTGCCCTTAAGAGAGGCTAAATATTCCCGAGGAAATGAAAGGGTAAGGAGATCCATCCCTGTGCTGCACAACCCTGTGCTGTGGGCAGACACCCTCTCTCCCTCCCTCCCCCCATCCACAGCTCACAGTCTGTCTCTAAGGTACCTGGAATCACTTCAGGAAACTCAACAGATCTGCCTCAGAAATCCTGAACTCAGCAATTGACTTGATAACTTGAGACAACGTGTGGAGAAGTCTAATTCTACCTAATTCATTCTCTGATCTTCTCTCTACCCCTGGCTACCCAGAAAAATCATTTGTACACACAATCAGTTTTCAAAGAGAGCAAGTGGCTTCCTTTCCATGGGGCCCATCCTACCCTCCTTTGTTCCCATGTGCTTTGGAGCTCAGTTATTTATTTATGAATGTCTTACAGCCTGGCTCCACCCCCTGACATCCACCAGACCTTGAGGCTGAGCCCTGAAGCTGCCTTGAGCTGTCCCTGGGGCTCTTTTATTTCACCCTAACAGAGCTCTGAACTGAGAGGGTGAAGAACAGGTCACAGACTGTCTCTTCTCTCCTGTGGCAGCACCTGACCCAGTGGCAATAAGGAGCAATCCTGGAGGCCATAAGGGGGCGTGGACAGTTTGTTACATATCAGCCATGACTTTGGTTGTGGTTTTGATTAAAATATACTACATTACCGGGCTTTAATTTTTCTCCTGGTATGAAGTAGGGAATAATCATCTACTGACCTATATAAACCAAGTAAGATGGTTACATTTTTTTACTAAGCCAGTGCTAAGATGGGCATACAGAAAACCTTCTATAGTTGTTTCCTGTTTTATGGTAGCTCAAATCATGAAGGTCAAAGGTTATTCTAAAAGGGCACATGTGCTGCCAGGAAAAGACCTGGGGGTGACCTGGGTGACCCTCAGACCAGAGACATCGCCACACCTCACCTCATAGGGAAGGCAAGCCCATTAGCAACTGGACCAGGAGACAGGTGGGCTACTTTAAGGAAAACCAAAGGAGAGAGAGAGAGACCGCCACCCGTCCATGCCTAGGTTGGCTGGGTACACAAACCTTGGCCCCACAGAGCTCTGCAGGGAGAGAGACTACAGGAGAGGGGCGCAGGACAATGGGCCAGAAAGAAAAGGAAAGGAGCAAGCAGACTGGAGCCAACAAAGCATGCATGACTAGTCCTTCCCACATACAGGCCACTCTGATTTTGTTTATAACAGTCATTCTGGGGGTGGGGGAGCTGAGCTCTGCAGCTGGAGGGAGACTGCCTAGCTGGCTCACTTCCCACGCGAGCACTCCGTAGTTGCAAGTTTGCAGTGGCCACTTGGCACTGAGTGCAGGAAGGTCTTCCATGCATTCCAGCTGGGTCCATGCTGCCAGCCACATGCCTGGATGGTGTGCTCGACCTAAAAGCACAACACCCCTGTGACTACACTTCTCCCCCACATGTGATCCTGTTTCACCCTTCTGTGAATTGTGTAACCTCTTGTGGTCTGTGCGTGAGGCAGCCCGCCATCGTGGGATTAGAACATCTGCTGGCCCCTTCCTCCCTCCTCAGCCACCACACAATGCAGAACAGGTCCTGTGTGGCAGCTGGGGCTCTATTCAAGAAGCTGCTGGTTTGGAACCAATTTGATCCCATAACACATGACACAGGAAACATCTGGGTGCATAGCAGGAGAAAACTAGGGCCAGTCCCTCCCGGCAGGGGCACACTGATCACATTTGGCCGCTACTTTAAAAAAACAAGAAGATGCTGCTTCTGGTGTCTTTGCTGGCCACCAGAAAAGGTGGCCTTCCTCCATGCAGGTTCTCCTTCCTGTTCACCTGCACTGTTTTGGGTGTGGGAGCCACCTTCCACCCTCTGCCAACACCTCGCCCAGATGGTCTTAACACCTCAACATCTGGGACAGGCTACACTGCCAATAAAACATCTTTGTGTCCCTATGGCACAGAGTTTCTCCCACCAGTGATATACGGGGCACATAAAGGGTGTTCCATAGACACTAGGCAGACAGGAATGCAGGGAGGCAGAAGAGGAGGGATAAGTCTGCAGGTTTGCCCACACTACTGACCTGCATCCATGCTGTGGCTCATCTGGTGGTCACTAGTTTCTCCATCTTCACTCAGGTAGCCAGGGGGTGGGGTTTCTGGGGATGAGAAAGCAGGCAGTTCCAGTAAAAGGAATGCAAGGCCTGGCCCTGGCACTCCATTTGTTGGCCAATATATCATGCATTCATTCCACCATTGAGTACAGGGTGCCTAGAAGAAAGCTGAGCCTCAAGGGAAGGCATCAGCTCCTGGCCTGTCCAATGTCGCCTTCTGGTTCCCAACCTGGATCCTAACACACTGACTCCCAGATTGAAATGCCTTGCTCTAGGACCACAGCTTAGCTGGCTTGTCCCCATCCTTCAAGGTCAGGTTAAGAAGGGAGGCCTCAGGACATGCCTGCCTTACCATCTCTGTCCCCTGAGGAGCTATGGCCTTGAGTCTGTCCCTGTACAGATCGGCTGCTCTTGTCACTGTTGTCTCTAGGGGATGTGGCTTAACTCCCCAGCGAGGTTACTGTTCAGTGGTGGCACCCTCAGTGAGCCGTTTCTTGGAAATCTACCTCACCCTCCCACCCTACCTTAGCCCTCCAAACTCTGCCATCTGACAGGGAGCAGACAGCTTACCCGCCCCCCAGAGACCAGCACTACCTGCAAGGATCTGAGAAACCAGACAACTGGCCTCGGCGTGCATGCGTCCTGACCCAAGACACGGGCCACAGCTAACCTCAGCCCAGTAAGCCAACCCAGAGAGTGAAAGCCACATCCAAATTAGAACGCTCTAAAAGGAACACAGCTGGATCATTGCCCCGAAAGCAAAAGTTGCCCTGACTGGCCCTAGTGTGGCCAAGCACAGCTTCCCTGGATGCCCAGAGTGCCTGGCAGTGATTCACACATTATTTGCATGTAAATGAGGGACTTCTAGAAGCACTGGCACGGGACAATGAAACCCATTCTATCTGCTGCCTCAGCTCCCACTCTGCCCAGTCCAAAGCTCAGGGTACTTCTCACCCCACGCTCTGCAGCCCCTATCCTTCAGGGACCCTGTCTGTGTGCCAGCCTTATGGGCTGGGAGGGAGAGCAGAGACACAGTGTTGCTATTTCCGCTTTCAAAATAAATGACGGCACTGAGGCCCTGCAGAAGGGTCACAGGATCCTCCATGCCAAGAAAAACATCGTTAGGGGAGTTTGGGCCACCAATGGTTCCCGGCTGGGACGTGGTTCAGAATCAGAGCCCACGAGCCTGCTGCATGTACAACGACGTGGAGAGGATGGGGAAATGGCACCATCCTGGCCTCCTGGCTGCATGTGCTGCTACCCATGCCTACCTGGAATATTGCTTTGGGGCTCGATGCCAGCGGGGAAGTTAGTGTTCTCGGGGATGGAATGGCTGTAGTCATCCAGCGGGGGGAACTCGGCCGGGATCTCGGTGTGGCGTGGCACCAACACTGGAGGTAGAACTGTCCCCAAGGGAGACACAACAGAGGTGGGTCAGTGCCAGGGCACTCAAGTCACAGTCCCCAAGGGCACCTTAGACCCAGAGTCAGTGGGATGGGGAGGGCGAGGCTGCACACACATACCTGGTGTCTCTACTCTCTGATAGTGGTACGGATTGACGCACACTTCGTCCTTCTTCATGTTGAAGGCGAATTCACATAGCTCCATGGCACGTAACTCATGGTGACTGTGCAGGTCGGGCCATCGCCACAGGCGGCAGTAGATAACATGGGGAAGCCCCTTCCGATGGGACACTTGCAGCCGGCCATCCAGTGACCTGCCATGACAAAGAAAGGACAGAAGGTGTCAGTGAAGTAGGTTTGTTTGGACTGCTGTCTCCCATGACAAAGGTCAGTGGCTTCCGGGGAGTTCAAGTTTGCTGGCAGACACTCTCAAGTTCATTCCTCCCCCAGACACAGGGCACCAGGAAATAAAGTACCACTGTCCTGTTCTTACTGGACATGGTCCCAGCTTCCAAGAAGCAAGAAGACCCCCAGAATTCCCACAGTAGCAGCTCTCAAGGAAAGGGATCTGCTTGAAATACACTAAAGCAGGTACACATGCCACCAATCTTGTCCCTGTAGAGGCGACCACTGGACAGGGTGAAGGCTAACTCCAAAAAGAGGCTAGATAGTAGGCGGAACTGAGCTGACAGGGAGTCTAACTTTTCTCTAAAAGCACTAAATGGCCTCTGAGATGTATACATGGGCTGTGTTCATGCACATGAGTGAAAAAAGTGCTGTAATAAGTCTCATTGTGTGTGGCCCACAGGTTGGGGGGGTGGGCTGGCAAGTATAGAGTAATGCAGGCAGGACCTGCCCCTTTCACAAGAAGGCTTGTCCTTGGAGCCCTGGGTTAGGAACATGATGTTTCCAGTAGCTGGGTCAAGCTAGCAGAGAGCTATTGCAAACTGACCTTCTGTCCCTAGGGCACCTATGGGTCTGAATCCAACAGATTATATGAGTGCTTTGTAAGAGAAGGGCAGGCCAGATGTGCCAACCAGAGCCAAAGAGGGTCCAGCCAATCTCCAATCCACTGGCCTGGAATGGGGAGGGGCAAAGGTCAGTGTTGGGCTTGGTCACAGAGACTGACTGAGAGCTGCTGACTAAGGGCATATGGAAGGATGTAATTACCTCCCTCCCAGGAGGCCCAAACCAAGGAGCCCCTACAGCTGAAAACAGTAATTACTGAGCCAAACAAGAGAGGACAGCCTGAGACTAGTCCTTGAGGCACAGAAGGAAGTCAGCCACATGTGCAGTCATAGGGCCTGGAGATGTGGCTCTTGCTCCTAACTAGACAACCCTGGGTACCAGGGCCCTCCACTACTGCATCTATAAAATGGGGACAGTCTTCCCATCGCCTGATCTCTACTAGAAACCACTTTATAGTGTCAACCCATGGAGAGCATTCCTCTCAGTGTTACTGGTGGCTGTCATCTCACTAAGCCAGCCCTAGGGAAAGGGGCTGAGCTGTGAGTAAGAGAGAAAGGATGCATGGGAAGTGGAGATAACCCTTCTGCTCTCCTCACTTTGTTTCAAAGCTGCCAAACCTTGCAAAGGTAAGGGAAGTGTCCACACTGGCTCTTCAGGGTATGGCAGAAGTCTTCCACAGGGCTGGCTGGATGCTGAGGCCAACCCTCTGGTGGGAAAGAGGAGTGCCTAAAGAAGGGCCATGCCAGCAGTGAGGGAGATGGGGTGGAGAAGCCCACCAAGATGGTGGAAGGGGGTGGGTCACCTTAAAAGTAACAGGGAGAGCTAGGGAGATGGCCAGCCGGCAAAGAACCTGTGACACAGGCGTTAAGAACATGAGTTCAGTCCCCAGAGATCTCGTGAAAAAGTTGGGTGTGGTAGTGTACTGAGGAGGGAAAAACAGTCAGGTACCTAGAGCTCGGTGGCCACCCTGCCTCATCTGTTTGGTGAGACCCAGGCCAATGAGACCCTATCTCAAGATACAAAAAACAAAGTGGACAGCACCTAAGGAATAGCCAAAGCTGTCTTATGGCCTCCACAGACACACACAGCATACTACACCCATTAGCATAGCTGCCCACACAAGTACATGTAAACATGCATAGAAAGCAAATATTATTTCCAAAAAGCAAGATTGCTACCCTCATCAAAGCAATGTGGCAGTGTCCTCAGAACGGACCAGCATACCAATGGGACCCAACAAAAGCCATGAACAGCCGCATATACATGAGTACTGGCTTTCAAAGAAGGTCCAAAGACATACCAACTGGGAAAGGTAGATCTTTCAACCCTTTCAACCAGTGGGTGCTGAACCCACTGGAGATCCACACTAAGAAAAATGAACTTCAACCTACACCTGGGTAGGAATGGAGGATCAAAGTACAAAACTCAAAACAAGCTGTCAGGACAGCTGGGTGGTGGTGGCACACGCCTTTAATCCCAGCACTCAGGACACCTTTAATCCCAGACAGGCAGATCTCTGTGAGTTCAAGGCAACCTGCTCCACAGAGTAAGTTCCAAGACACAATGAAACTAGGTCTTAAAAAAACAAAACAAAACAAACAAAGACAAAAATGTCAACACAAAACTTTGGAGGATTTCTGCAACTGAACAATGATTTCTCAGCTGCTATACCAAAAGCATAATCCATTAAAAATCAAAGTTGATATGTTGATAATGGAAATCAGGATGTGGCTCCTGATCTGTGTAAGACTTAAACAAAAATGACAGGTGACATTGGCAAAGAATATATCTCACAGAGGTTCTGTTTCTAGGTTAAAGAATATCAAAAACAACCCAATCTTAAAACAACAGGTGAATCATTTAAACAAATGCTATCTTAAAAAGTTAAAGATAACAAAGATGTTCTATTTCATTACTAATTAGAAAAGTATAGTGTATAGTGGATTAAAACTATAACTTTGTATAATAGATTAAAACTACACAAAGGGACTGGAGGGATGGCTCAGCAGTCAACAGCACTTGCCATTTTTGCAGAGGACCTGCGTTTGATTCCCAGCACCCACAGAGAGGTTATAGAGAGTCTATTGCCTTTTTGTTGGGCCACTGAGCATACCATGGTACGCTGACAGGTAGGTGTGCAGGCAAAATACCCATACACATAAAATAAAATTAACAACATACAATGAGATACCACCATTCAATTATCAGAATAGCTGTAATTAAAAGAACTGTGTGTGCCACGTGTTAGCAATAGTGTGGAGCAACTGGAACTCTTACACATCCATCATGGAAAACAGTGGCTCTGAGAGACAGTTGGGGAATTTCCTTGAAAGTCCAAAGTAGAAACCTACTATAACAGTTTCTTTTTCAGTTGTTATGATTAAATAATCTGACAAAAAAATTATGATGGTCTGTCTTAACTATCCACTTGACAAATACAGAATCCCCTGGGAGATGGGTATCCTGATTGGGTTAATTGAGATGGAAGACCAACCCACTATGGGTTAACACCATTCCTTGGGATGAGAGCCGGAACTTTTAAAAAGGAAACCATGAGCTAGGCACAACACTCATATATATGTGCCTTCTCCCTGACCGTGTCTGCATTGTGACCAGCTGCCTCGAGCGCCTGCTTCTTTGACTTCCTACCATAATGGACTGCACCCCATTCCTGGTACCAGCTTTTATCGTAGTTAATTAGTTGTAACGAAGTACCCTGATAAAAGCAACCTCAGGAAGAAATAGCTTATTTTGGCTTCCAGAGACCTACAACCCATCCTTGCAGAGAAGACACAAGCAGCAGGAGCTGGAAGTCAGCCGGTCATACTGCATCTGCACTCAGGAAGGGGAATGAACAGGAAGTGGGGTGAGGTTAAGCTATAATGCCTCAAAGCCTACCTCTGGGGACTTACTTCCTCCAGTGGGGCTCTGCCTTCTGAAGGTTCCATATCCTTCCAGTGCTATCAAAGCTTGGAACCAAGTGTTCAGACATGCGAACCTACAGGGTACATTTCACATTCAAACAGTGACACCCACCATAGGATCTACCTGTTCTGCTTTTAAGCATTCCCCAAGAGAAACCAAACAGTATGTCCACAAATGTACAAGCACCTGAATATTTTGATATGTCCACAACACAAAGGATGATACACGGATCAATGTCAAGAATGAAAGACTGGGTCATTCTTTTCATGTAAAATTGTAATCGCTTAGTTTGTATTTTGACACAACTGTTACTCTAGTTTTGATGGCGGCTGATATGATATAGGCCCCAGGCCAGATCAAACTTGTATGATCCTCTTATACCAACCTCCTAAGTGCTGGGACTACAGACATGCCCAGCAGTCTACAGTGTAACTTAAGGTAGCAGCTTCCTGGGAAGGTGAGGCATGCATGCAGGGATGGGAGGGAGAGATTAAGCAAGGGCAAGGGAGACCTTGGTGGAACACAGGTTCTATTTGTTATCTTGACCGTAGTGGTTTTACGGACAGATAGATGAGGAAATTTACCAAACAGCACACTTTAGGTATGTGCAGTTTATTCTTTAAATTAAACCACAATTCCAAGAGGAGGGAGGCAGAGACTTTGGCCTTAGCTAAGCCTGGATCTGCTACTTCTGTGTTCAGCAACTCTATGAACCTTACACCTAACTTACAACCACTTACAACCTCAGCCTTTTTTATTTTGTCTAAACTACAAATACCATTGTGAGACTCTTGGGAGGCCTAGGTGACACTCTGTGTATCCCTGGGTACATCGAGAATGCATCAGACAGCAGCAGCTTGCTACAATATCACTGAAGCTCCACACTGCCTCACTCCTATGCCCAATGCCTGGCTAAGGAAAGAGCCTAGGTGCTCAGAAGCCAGGCCTTCCTGTCTTGGGTGATCCAGGAGCATAACAGGAACAACCACCATGGAGCCTCCTGTCTCCCTGGTGCCAGCTCCTTTCATATGACTGCTCCAGGTTCCTCTGAGGTGATCCCCACCAGCACCATGCTGTATGGTTCATAAGGCAAGTCTCCAGTACTCCTGGCCCATTACATCCAACCCCCTAGACCAGTTGGGAACACACAGAGTCTATACTGGGGCTGCAGCCAGAGGCCAGTTCTCCTGACTGGAAGACAGTCGCTCTACAGCTCTTGAGCACATGACTACTAATCATCTGATAGGATTTTCAAGAAGTCATCTATGTCCCTGCTTCTAAGCCATAAAATCTACACATATCCCAAGATGGCAAAGGCATCTCATCTGCTCCCTCAGAGACAATTGTGGCAACTCCTCTTGGTTCAGAGTCCGGGCTGTTCCTTCTTCCTCCCCTTGTCCCTCCCTCTGTCCCACTAAAA